TATTTTTTTAACTCTTTATGTTAATCTTTCAGTCTGCTATTTGTGCTCGCCGATGCTGTCACGGCCGGCGAAGCCGCCTCGGTGCTGCTCTTCTTCTTTTCTCGTCCTCCCTCCTTTCTCTTCTTGTTTCCTTATTGTCTCTCTTTCTGCTTCTCTATCTAGCCGCTTCCTTTTTTTTCTTACCATACTTGCTTCTCTCTCTTCTTACCATACTTGCTTCTCTCTCCTCTTCATTTTGTTCTTCCTGCCAGACTCACGACGTAGTGCGATCTACACCGTTGCTAAACATCCGGACGACGTACATAATATTCTCTTTCTTTTCTTAAATTTTATGCGAGATACCTTAATATTTTTTTTAATTAGAGATAATATTACATCAGGACTTCTAACATAGATTGTGTTAGGAGTTCAATGGCAGAGCGCCACGTGTCAACTAGGCCCCACCGCAATACATTGACATTGACCAGTATTAAAAACGGCGGAGCTCACTTGACGTGTGACACACATCATTAGACTCCGAATACATTCGGAGTGGCAAGAAGACTTAATTAATATTTTGTTTATTAATTACGACCAAAATCAGCTTTCAGTCGTAATTAAAGTAATAATCAAATTTGATTGAGATAATCAATTCTAAAATTCTTTTCAAAGAAAACATAAAGCTCAAAATTCTAATAGCAAGCCTTTTTCAATGAACATATCTCACTCACATTTGCCAAAAAAATGAAAAAATGGCAGGAAGATGAAATTAAGATTTTGTTAATTAATTACAGCCGATATCTGCTGTCAATCGTAATTAAATTAGTAATCAATTTTGATTAAGATGAAATTTAGGCATGAATTTGCCTTTCTAATTTTTAATTATACATCAAATCAGGTGAGCGGAAGAATCTTTTTAATTTTCATACAACTATAACATTTAGATAAATTTGATTATAAAAATCACTTTTTTATAATAAAATATTTTGAAATAACCAAAAAGGTTTTATCAAATGTAAATATTAGAGCGATCTATAAAGTAAACTTATAAAAGAAATTATCTCAGGCATAGCTAAAGCCAAAAAGTATTGCTTTCTCAGTACTCTTACATGTTCAAAACCAAGTATTTAAAAACTTCACCTGTGGATAAGATGGTGGGCTGGTGATTGGGCATTTTATCTGGCATAAAAGGTCAAATTTATGCTAAAAACATATGAATCTGGTGATCTCCTCATAAAGATTGAAGTTTGGTTGGTTTATATGTTAATACTTAAGACTTGTGTGGTTAGTATATTGTAAATGGCCCTTATAACAAATTATAAAAAGTAAATTCAAAGTATAAAATAAGTGGTCTTAAAGTTGTTATATCCTAGAAAATTTGCGAAAGTACTGGTTGGGTGAGTTTACTTTATTAGTGTTACGAGAAAATTTAACACACAGATAAACAGATTATAGTGCATAACATATGACTTGACCCAATCCAAAATGATTTTACTATTTAGTTAAAGAGTTATGGTTTGCTCTCCCTTATCACAAGAAAAGGTTGGAAGTAATGCAATATAATGCATTGGTTTTTTGTGTCAATGGATGATGAATGGTGATCATTGATGGAAAAAAACATTGTTAGATAACGGGCAGTAATAAATAATGGATATATTTGTTGCTCGGTGGTGGCTGACACAGGGACATCAAAGACAATCAAAGGCGGGAAACAAAATAGATCTATGATGAACAATAAAGAAAACCAATAACACAAATAATCTTTGAAAAGTTTTGCTTTACTAGTTTTGAAAGATAACTCTAACAGAGTGATTACTCGTTTATGTAATCTTTTCTTAATGAATTAATTCTCATGGGTTCTCATGGGATGTTTAAAATTAGACATGACTTGAATGGGGATCCAAAGCATTGTTCTTTTTTTAGTTTTCTTCTTTCTTATACTTATCTAATAAGTTCTAGACTTTTCTAATTTTTACTATGCTTTATAATCTATTTAAGACTATTTATATGTTTAATATGTAATTCACTATAATAATCTTAAAAGATTGTCGCATTAGAGCTCCCAACTTAGAATTCTAAGAAGTACTATAGAATTTGTATATGATGGTTGGTTTGAATCCTCAAAATCATTTTAGATTTCTTGTTTCTTGGAAAGTAGAGCCCTATAAAGGCCACTTGACATCGTATACATGCAAAAATTCAAATTCTCACTCTTTGAATGTTAATCAAAGATATACAACACACAATGCATGCAACATACACATTTGACTTTATTGGTGCACACCTACTGTTTTAGATTCTAAAAGCAAGATCATTGTATTTTGAGAGACTTTTCTTGCCCACCACTCCTCATTAGCCTTCTTTAGCTTTCTAATTCTTTACAATGAAATGAAGCCTTTAGCTTGCACTATTTTATTTTTTGAATGACAGAGGTCTCATTGTTCTTCTTAGTATTTATAGATCTTCAAAATCATAATTTCATCTGCAATTTATTTTATTTTATGTGTTAGAGTTATTAAAATTATTCATTATTATCTACAATTTATTTATTTTTATTGAATTTTGAGAGCTTCTTATTTTTCACCCTCCACTCGTCGTATTAATTTATATATCCCTCTTCTTAGCACTTATGAATTCTCTCCTTCCTGAAACAATTATAATTACTTGGCTATAAAGGGTCATGTATCCTTCAGTGGTGGCTAATCTTATGGTGGCAGAGAAGGTTATCTTGGTGATGATGATGATTTACTTTCAGGTGGCCAGTTTTACAATTTTTGTATGGGTGCCGAGAATTTTAGTGATGCCAGAGTTAATCCGAAAGATAATAAAACATAAAGATTATTGCTGAAAAAAATCGAAAATGAATCACAAGAAAGATTCGTTAAAATCGAAATAAAATAGAACAAAATACAAACAGATGCCAATATGTGAACAACAAGTGGAAGGTTGTTCAAGAGGTGACGACGGTGATGTAGCAAGGCTAACAGTAGCGAATGGGGTTCCCGGAAGCTGGCAACAGCAAGGGGGAGTGTTAGAAGCCTGGATTGGGGTTGGTGTGGCATTAGAGAGGATGAGGAGCTGGGGTGCTGGAAGGGTTATCGACAACAAGAACTGAAAAGGAAGGGTGGTGGGCAATGGCAGCAAGTCGGAGATGGGGGTAGGAATTAAATTATAAGAAGATAGTTACCACCTTGGAGAAGGATATAGGCCGAGCACCGCCTATCTTTGTATATAGCTATAGCACCAGTTATCCTCAGATACAACCCTAACAAGGAAGCAAAGTAGACAGCTAGAAACCAGAATTTCATAAAAATTGAACCCTCAATAGGAAACCAATATATTTATATTAATAGATAATCTGGAAAGGAGAAAACCCCTCCCATTTGAGGGAAGCAGTTCCAATGGTCGGTTCAACCCTCAGACAACCCTCATGTAAGTCTCTAAAGGTTGGGGGAGCTTCAACTTCATTTATTGAAGCTTTTGGTTCTTTATAATACAATGTCAATTTTGTGACATTGAACACAGCTGACACATTATAGTCACATGGTACGTCAAAATTATAAGCATTATCGATCACTTTTTGGATTATTTTGAAAGCTCCACATAATTTGGGAATACTTTGAGCTTGATTTTTCTGAATGCATCCATCAAAAATAATTCTTTCTTTAGCCAGATTCACAATGGCACAAAACGTTACGGTGAAGCAAGTTAGCTTAATCAAACAATTATACATATCAAATAATAATATGACTAAAGAATACCGCGTATCGATCCCATGAGGAAAGTGTTAAAAATTATTCTGAATGGCGAATATATAGTTTACTATACTTCTATACCTAGTTTAGTGTGATCATAAAAAAGAGGTGGTTTTATAAAACCATATTAAAAAGCAAAATTAAGAGATAACAAGTTTGTGGAAAAAAGGCAGAAAACATTAACAGATAAATCTTACTGTTCTTCAAGGTATGTGAGGCTCACGCCCTTGTGATTTAGGTGATGTGGTAATCTGTAGTCTTCATGAACTTTTCCTTATGTGATATTTATCAACACTGATATAAATTTTTCATTATGTGGGACATCCTCGTTGAGTGAGATGATAAGAGTGAGACATTTGATATTTAGGGAGCCACATTTTTTCAGGTTTTATATCTTTTTGTACTCCATCATGATTGAGAATAGCATGTTTTGTCTTTTGTGCACTAAAAACAAGTAGAATGGAGAAATTGGAGCAAAAAATAGAGAAAACAAGAACAATTGAAGGATTTCCAACCGACGCACTCATGCCAACAGAACTATGAACCTGCTTTAAGCTCTGGCACACCCATGCCTTTACCAGCCTGCCTGCGCCATTACCAGCACACCTGCACCAAATACAGTGCACCCTGTCCAGACCACAAAATCAAGTTTTGGCAAGAAATATTCTACCTTTGTCGAGCTCTGCCTATAAAATAAATTCACAAGTGTCTTATTGTAAGTTATTGCTTTTGTTATATTCTTGCAATGAAAATCTGCATGGGTTCTATGTTTGTGGCTTTCTCAATAATGCATGGCTAGTCCTTCCTTCATTTTTCTATGATGTAAGGGTAGTAGTTTTATTGTGGTTCTCTGAGATGTGTTTTTGATTGCATTTTCTCATGCTTTCACGACCTATATTGTTGGTTAACCTCCGAACATTTACTCTTAGTCTGGTCAACAAGGATGTTAAAAAGTGTCGTAAAAATATGACCTCTAACCATTACGTAATAAAAAACAAGCGTTAAACTCAAAATTTCCTCAAAATTCCAAAGGATGGACATATTCCAAGAAAATTTTGCAATCATTCCAGGGGATTAGGTCAGTTAAACAGAATGTCATGGGGATTGAGGAAGCCTCAATTTTATGGATTCTAGGCTTCTTTTGACCTAGACATAGGCATAAGGAGTATTATATCCTTGATTGATAGCAATCATGCACAAAAACATTTATGAAGCAACGATCACCATGATCCCTGAATCACGGAGGCATGAGCCTCATTTTTCTTGAAAGCTCTAATAATTTTTTCCATTTTGCTTTTTGTCTCTACTGCACTGAGATCTATTTCTATTAATTAGTATTAGGATTTAAAAAATTACTTTATGAACTTGCCAAGCTAAGTTCAACGGATTTGTAAACTAGTGATTTTTTTGCCTAAATAATTATTATACTTTCCCTATGGAATCGATACGTTGTAATCTCTAACTGCATACTACTTGAAACATTCACTTGCATTGTACGCCAAACTTGCTCTGCAGTATGTTTTGGCACTTCAAGTTTTAAGCATCATTGCCGAGGAAAAACGTTAATAATTGTTTCTACTGTTAGAAAAATTTTAGTTGAAAATTTTAAGATTTAATTTTGGCACCTATTCTTTTCCTATTTCTATGTTTTTTTTTCTTATTACATCTATATTTTTTGCATTTGTTTTTGCCATTTTTTTTTGCAGGTGCTAAAGAAATTTTTTTTTTTGGAAAAGCTGAAATCAAAAGCCAAAAGTAATAGTTATTAATTTATTTTTTTTTTTGTTTGTAGTTTTTCCTTGCATATTGTTTATTGCATTTGCATGCAAGGGTGTTGACCGACTTGTGTGGGTCAGAGTCTTTGTTTTCTACATAAAGTTGTTATTTTCTTTTGTACGTTTTGGGGAGTTGATGCTGACCTCGTCCCTGTCGGCACTATTTTTGGTGTGGGGTTT